TAATATCTACATATCTGTGTATAATGTAGATATGTCTTTCTTTCCTGTCGAGTTCACATTTTGCCAAGCAACAGTTGCCCTGCAAGAAGTAGATGCATGGCCTGGAAAATCCCAAGGTTTTTTTTAATGGTGAAATGGCAATTGCCTTGGGGGTTGAATGATTGCAACCCAAATACCATGATTATAATGATTGGGGTGGCTAAATATCATATATAATAATATGCAAAGAGTATTATAACCATCCACAATCATCAACCAACTGGCTTGATATTGCGCAAGATAATCTCAGGAATATCGATGGCATGAAGGTGTCAAGAATCTAGTGGAAAATTCTCCAACATCATGGGATAATGGAAATTATATGATTTTAATTTGGTATTAGAACCCCCTATAATAATGGAAAATAATGGGGAAACATACCAAAATAATGTCTGGCGAGAATTGGGATTCGCAGTTCATGCAACATGATAATCCCCAATCTATAAAGCGTGTATACAGTAGTATAACCACCGAGCAAAACATCAACCAACTAGGGATTTTGAAACTGCTGCCATAAGGATATGATTTGGTTAAAGATTCAACACACTTTGGGCTACGAGGACTCTTCGCTTCTAAAACTTGCATCCTGGTTTTCACATCAATCCCCCTTTTTTGGGTTGGTTTTGATCCCCCATAGTTGCTGAATGTCTGACTTTAAGGTCCCTCAGTAAAATTCTCAGCCCAAAGCCAGCCTGCGACACGCCTCAGGGTGTCCCAAACTCCCACAACTCGGCAACTTCGTTTGCATTGCTTCGACCAAGGCCGCCTTAGATTCTCAACACACATCTCGGTGTATCAAGCATACATGCGATTTTTTGTATTCTGCTCACCCTTAGAGTTAGATGATACTGTAGATATATCATACTGATGTTTTTCTAAGGGTTTAGTCGTTTAATTTAGGGTTTTTACAACTGCTTTAGGGTATATTTAGAATCTATTCTTTCCCAAAAAATGTATATATATATATACATGTGAATAACCCCAACACCTCGAAAAACAAAGCCACACAAACGCAAATGCAGAACATGTGGAAACCTAAAGTTATATACATAATATCATATATACAGTATATTATGATATAATATAATATAATATAATATAACATAACATAATATACTGTAATATAATGTAGTATATTGTATTATATTATATTATATTATATTATGTTATACTTTATTGTACTCTGTTATATTGTATTATATTATATGATCATATTATATTATAGTACATTATACTATATTATATATTATATTATATCATATTATATCATATTATATTTTATTAGATTGTATTATATTATATTACATTATATGACATTATATTATATTATATTATATGACATTATATTATATTATATTACATTATATTTTATTGTATTATATTATATTATATTATTTACATATGTCATATGTATATATATATATACATTGTATATTATTGTATATTATTGTAAATTATTGTATGTACATTGCAAATTATACTATATATAGAAAGATATATATTATATGTATATTGTATATTTTATATATATATATATCATAATATATATATATCATAAATAAAAGAAAAAACGAAAGCAAGAAACCGAGAAACTAAGAAACCGAGAAACCAAGAAACCAGAAACCAAGAGACCGAGAAACCAAGAAACCAAGGGACCCAGAAACCCGTGAAACCCAGGAACGGAGAAACCCATAAGTACAAGAACCCAGAAACCAAGGACCAGGGGAAACAGAACGTTAGAACCATGGCTCGTTGCAAATTGACCAGAATCCAGCGTTGTAAAATGACCGCTCCCCCGCGTTGAAAAATGTTCCCCCTTCCAATTTCAAACTACAAAGTTTGGATCTTGATCAACGAAAATGAGCGTGTAATCAAAAGACCTTCACTTTTAACCAACAAAGAAATGCGAGGATGTTCAACCCACCACGGAAACGAAGAAAATGATTTACCCAAATCACCCTGAACCTCCCAAAACGCCCAGGCAGTAACTAAGCATCTGCACGAGCCAATGAGTCGTGTTGATATTTAGGATGTGTGCATGTTTGCAACCAAAAAAAACATGGGACGGTCCGAGGTTAGTCTCAAAAATGTGGCTCAAATTATTGATTGACCCCACAAGACTGGACGGTTTTGTATTTTGCTTCGAAGAATGACGAAATTTGTGGATCCATCAATTCGCCATGGTCATGGTATCAAATGAACCAAAACCCAAGAAAGGCGAGTTGAGATCTCCCAGCATGTCTTGACCGCTACCGGGAACTATCGTTTGGTTGTTGGAGTCATGCACACACCGGCAAAGGTCAAACTTGAGTATCGGTGCATACACAAAGTTTGTCAGTTGTCAGTATGAAACACTCTATTTTAGCACAAGTTCCATAATTTTGGCCCATACCCAGAAGTCATCATGATCCCACAAACTAATTCAACCATAAATTGTGCCCCCCATAATTCATTGAATATTAAACCATCCAACTGAATCTGGGGGAGCCTGGTTGATTAGTAAAATGTTCCAAGTCTCATTGCCAACCTTAGATATCTTGCAAAAAAGGTAAATATGAACTAAGCTGGTGAAAGTAGATATTCCCAATTAGCAGAAGATTAAATTCTTAGCTGGTGAAAATAGATATTCATATGGGGATGGGTCAAAACCCTGGTACCTAGTGAACCCCAAAATAGCTGGTAAATGGATGTTCATTCCACTAATAATGGTATTAAGGTATTGACCCATACCCATATAGCAAAAGATTCAAGGATTTATTCCTACCCCATCCAGTTGACCCGTCCTCGGCCACCTCGGCAGGCAGTCCAAAACCTTCATGGTTCGGTAGACTTTCGGGGCCTCGCTGGCTCGACAGATTTCCAGGGGAACGAAGCTGCCGACATCACCAAAAAAGGGGCAGGGTTGAGTGATGGTAATGATGATGGTGATGATGATGATGATGATGATGATGATGATGGTGCGGTGATAAGATGATTCCATACAGCTCAAAGAGTCAGAGGTAATGTGAGTGAGGCTCTTTGCATCAACGAACTGAAGTGACAAACAAGAAAAAATTCCACAGTTGGGCCAAAAAAATGATGGAACTTCAATGAAACCCAAACACACAATTAAAAAGAAAAACAAAGGTCTTGGAAAACCAAAGCAGTTTGATTTTGATTTACCCCATGAGGCTGCGGCTGGTGGGCGACAAATGTGGCACGTAGCCGTTCAGAGTTGTTTCAGAAGATCCTGCCCACTGGGCGGTGAAAAGGCCATTTCACAGTGAATTTTTCACCCTCAAACCCTCCACTTCACGTCTCCAAAATGTCCCGAGAATGGTCAAAGTTGCAGCAACCAATCCAATTTTGTTGCCCTCACCATCAATATGGGTTCAGAAATGTTCCGCAAGGAGTTGCAAACGTTCCCTTGTGACCAGTCCCTTTGATAGGAGTTGCAAGGATGCCCCGTGTGGCTACAGGCATAGGTCGATTCAGTGTTGCTGTTCACACCAAAATAGTTGGCTGGCAAATGGAGGTTCATTCCCCCATCATGACCCATACCCAAACCACCATGTTTGATAGTTAAATCCCTATTTGTGATGATTGAATCATGTTAAACCATGGTATTTTTTTTGTTGGCGGCTCTGCATTCATCATGAAAACAGAACATGTTTCAATGCAACATCGAAAAAACAGTTTTCACCCTGACCCTTGGTGGAATGCCTCCAGGCGAGGTTGTCTCTTTGGTAAATGAACGCTTCTTGACCCTCTGCGACAACTCGCTGGCGTAGACCTTCCTGAGTTTGGGGTTTTGTCCAAGGATCGGGTCACCCCCGGCAATGGAAGGCCCATACCCATTTGGACATGTCCGAAGTCATAAGGGCACTCACGGTTATCATCCAGTTTCATTTTAGATTTTCCATTTTAAACTATCCAGCTATTGAGGTATTCCCATTTTTGGAAACCCCCATTTAGTTTAATGATTTAATGATGTGCCATTCAAAAATGCCCGTTGGCCACGAACGAGGCCACGTGCGATTGGCGGCGAAAAGCGTTTGTATTCGATGACTGGCAATCACCCAATCCTGCAACTGATGTCAGTATCCACAGAAGGAAAGCTCCAAGAAGAGCCAACCACTGATCCATAATATTTTTTTAAAAAAATCGGTGGTATCCCCAACAACCGCAACGTTTTATTATTTTTATTTTTACATTTTTTTCTGAAGTGTGCTGCGAAACCAAGCCTTGGAAACACTTGGAAACACCTCAGGTGGGTTTCCGTGAATGAAATGGCCGCAAATCCCATTGAACCTGACCTGGCTCTGCACAAAAGCCTCCCAGACCGTCTCCGGAACCTTCTCCGGAACCTGACCTGGCTCTGCACCAAACCCTCCCGGAACCTTCTCCCGAACCTTCTCCGGAACCTTGTCCGCAACCCTGTTGAACCTGACCTGGCTGTGCACCAAAGCCTCCGTCTCCGGAACCCTGTTGAACCTGACCTGGCTCCGCACCAAAGCCTCCCAGACCTTCTCCGGAACCTTCTCCGCAACCCTCTTGAACCTGACCTGGCTCTGCACCAAAGCCTCCGTCTCCGGAACCCTGTTGAACCTGACCTGGCTCTGCAGAAAAGCCTCCCGGAACCTGACCTTCTTCAGAACCCTGTAGAACCTGACCTGGCTCCGCACCAAAGCCTCCCAGACCTTCTCCGGAACCTTCCCTGCAACCCTGTTGAACCGAACCCGGCTCTGCACCAAAACCTCCCCGACCTTTCTCCGCTTCTCTGGAACCTTCTCCGCAACCCTGTTGAACGTGACCTGGCTCTGCACCAAAGCTTCCCAGACCTTCTCCGGAACCTTCGGAACCTTCTCCGGAATTTGGTTGAACTTGACCCGGCGCCTGCACCAGTGCACACCGGAGCTATTCTGGGCTGAAGACCCCATTAGCTGACGCTGTTGGGGAAAGCCTAGTTTAGTGTTGGATCTATTGAATCTATTCATTTTGGGGTCCCATATTTGTAGGAAATTCAAATGTGCCGTGGTCAAAACCTGGCATATGGCATATGGATCCGATTATCATCGGAAATCTTGCGTTGGCTGATCATGGGCCAATGGGTGGTATGACCATCCCGAAACCTAGGTATATAACCCAACTCTTGACGGAATCCATGCGAGCGAAGTCGCACCACCAACACCCCTTATAAGGGAGGTACGAGGTGCCCGGAGGGGTGTGAACCGAGAATAGGCAAGCATTCAGCTAACTACAATGTACTGGCCGTATGCCAGGGAAATGTCACGCTTAGGATAGCAGTTGACAACCACATCCAGCGGGTGTCCCTTGCCGAGTGAAAAGACTATGGCATACAGAACCAGCAATGTTGTCAGAGCTGCTTGGAAAATAGCGCACCTTGGAAGGCTGTACAAGAAGAACAAGCTCACAAGCAAGAGAGTTTTGGCAAACAAGTAAAAGTTAATTAGCGCTTTGCCTGACAGTGGGACACTGCCGGTCGATGCAAGTTGGCAGGATCGAAATACATCATCTAACATCAGAGGACAGTTGGTACCCATCAAGCCAGTGTTCACAAGCAGCGGTCAAGACATCAAATTGTTGCAACGTCGGAAGAGCAATCTACGGCCACATGACACACACATGGAGGACGATCAAAAGATCATTGACCTTCGTGCCAATAACCAAGAACCCCAAGGTTCATCAGAGTTCCAATGTCAGAGTTCCAATTAGCAATCCAATCCTTGACAACATGCCCATGGTCGTGCTGCAAGGGCTCCAACTTGTCTTTCAAGGAAAAGGACATGCATCCAACAAGCGACAACAAGGCAACTGCAATGCAACTCAGTCGATGTCGGTCTGTGATGTCTTGGAGGCATCTACACGTAGCCAGGCACAAGTTCTGAAAGTGATCGTTCACCAAGTGGTGTGAGCCATCGACACAACCACTCAACACAACCTCCACAGTTCTCATCGAAATCGACCACAAGTCAGACAGGACACAAGACGTACAGTAATGACATGAGCAGATGGTCGGTGATGGAGAGACATACTTGAAGATCTGCTGCAGAGGCTCGTGTGAAAACGACATGGCTCAGTTGGAAAGGGGCCACCTCCCCACCTCGCTACGTGGAAGCCTGAGCCCAGAGGCTACCCAACTTTTGACCATAGCACTAAAAAGGGTGCAGGATTTCATTCGTGTCCCAAGCGTCATTTTATCATCACTCACATCGCGGTCGAAGAAAGCGACGGTGTGCAAAGCACGTCCGTCACCTGGCTGCAGCAAGGGATGCTGCAGAAAGTTTGGGCTTGTCTGAAAAAAAACTAGGGGAACAACCCATTCCATCCACTGGATTATGATTAACAATCTAATTATGTATGTATGTCTGTCTGTCTGTATGTATGTATGTCTCTGTATGTATGTCTCTGTATGTATGTCTCTGTATGTATGTCTCTGTATGTATGTCTCTGTATGTATGTTTCTGTATGTATGTCTCTGTATGTATGTCTCTGTATGTATGTATGTCTGTCTGTCTGTATGTATGTATGTCTCTGTATGTATGTCTCTGTATGTATGTCTCTGTATGTATGTCTCTGTATGTATGTCTCTGTATGTATGTCTCTGTATGTATGTATGTCTGTCTGTCTGTATGTATGTATGTCTCTGTATGTATGTCTCTGTATGTATGTCTCTGTATGTATGTCTCTGTATGTATGTCTCTGTATGTATGTCTCTGTATGTATGTCTCTGTATGTATGTCTGTCTGTATGTCTGTATGTATGTCTCTGTATGTATGTCTCTGTATGTATGTCTCTGTATGTATGTCTCTGTATGTATGTCTCTGTATGTATGTATGTCTGTCTGTCTGTATGTATGTATGTCTCTGTATGTATGTCTCTGTATGTATGTCTCTGTATGTGTGTCTCTGTATGTATGTCTCTGTATGTATGTCTGTCTGTCTGTATGTATGTCTGTCTCTGTATGTATGTCTCTGTATGTATGTCTCTGTATGTCTCTGTATGTATGTCTCTGTATGTATGTCTCTGTATGTATGTCTCTGTATGTATGTCTCTGTATGTATGTCTCTGTATGTATGTCTCTGTATGTATGTTTCTGTATGTATGTCTCTGTATGTATGTCTCTGTATGTATGTATGTCTGTCTGTCTGTATGTATGTATGTCTCTGTATGTATGTCTCTGTATGTATGTCTCTGTATGTGTGTCTCTGTATGTATGTCTCTGTATGTATGTCTGTCTGTCTGTATTTATGTATGTCTGTCTGTCTGTATTTATGTATGTCTGTCTGTCTGTATTTATGTGTGTCTGTCTGTCTGTATGTATGTATGTCTCTGTATGCATGTCTCTGTATGTATGTCTCTGTATGTATGTCTCTGTATGTATGTCTCTGTATGTATGTCTGTCTGTATGTATGTATGTCTCTGTATGTATGTCTCTGTATGTATGTCTGTATGTATGTTTCTGTATGTATGTCTCTGTATGTATGTCTGTCTGTCTGTATGTATGTATGTCTCTGTATGTATGTCTCTGTATGTATGTCTTTGTATGTATGTCTCCGTATGTATGTCTGTCTGTCTGTATGTATGTATGTCTCTGTATGTATGTCTCTGTATGTATGTCTCTGTATGTATGTCTGTCTGTATGTATGTATGTCTCTGTATGTATGTCTCTGTATGTATGTCTCTGTATGTATGTTCTCTGTATGTATGTCTCTGTATGTATGTCTGTCTGTCTGTATGTATGTATGTCTCTGTATGTATGTCTCTGTATGTATGTCTCTGTATGTATGTCTCTGTATGTATGTCTCTGTATGTATGTCTCTGTATGTATGTCTCTGTATGTATGTCTCTGTATGTATGTCTCTGTATGTATGTATGTATGTATGTATGTATGTATACATACACATATACATATACATATACATATACATATACATATACATATACATATACATATACATATACATATACATATACAGTATGTTATGTTCATACATATATTACTGCAATTTACCATTTTTGGAGACACAAAAGAAAAACAGGTGGTCCTCTCAGCTATGACTGGACCAGGACCCGGGTCCCCTGTTGGTCACATTGACCAGTCTTGTTGATCTGAGATCCTCCGTGTGACATCAGAAATCTCTCAGCTGATCAATCACCAAGGATTTTGGTGAACCCCAGAGGAAACCCGAAGATTTCTTGCGCAGCCCAAGTTTTGCCAAAAAAGGAACGGTTCGGTTTTGATCCGGGCAAATTACAATTCACTATCTAGTACAGCTCGCCATTTTTGACAAATATATAATACCCCGTACAGGAAGCTCGTGAATAGGTTGTATTACAATCAAACCAGGCTAAGTGTTGGATTTATGCTGGATGTATCTATAGTTGAACATTGGACATGGGTATGTCTAGACCAACAAACATAACTGTGGGGGCACCCCACTTTAAATGCAAAAACCCGCAACGTCATTCCATGAAATACTGTTTGGTTCATCCCAGTTCATGGATTATGATAATCCCTAATGTATTGGGTAATGCAACCCAGAACAAATCATTAACCAGCCATAAAATATCACATATTATATATATATCCCCAACAATGTTGATACTTAGACCCCACAAAATGCTCTACAATTGATGCTTACGTCCCGTAAATCCCATTATTCATCAACTATATCCCCATCAATTTTCATAATTGAAACAGCTTTCGACACATAAAAGCCCAACAAAATTCATGTGTACCATCAATTTACATGCTTGAAACATCTTGAAAGCCAAAAACATTGCTCCTTCTATCCACAAAAATCTGAGGAATTAGCCTCAGGGTAATTTATATAACATGGCTATTGAAAATGGCCATTTGTAGTGGATTTACCTATTGAAAATGGTGATTTTCCGTAGTTTTTTGTATGTTTACCATGTCGGCTATCCCATCCACCGAGACCTGGAGGAGAACTGTGGCACCGAAGGCGACGCTGAAAGCCGCGTGTTGAGGGCGAAGGGGACGCCTCGCTCTCAGTGTCGCTGTCCTCCTCCACCTGGTGCTGAAAAAGGGTGGTTTTGTTGCCGCAACTTACGGTAAGGTTGCAGAAAATTGATCAAAATTTCATAGGGAAGAAACCAAAGGCAGGGAAAATGATCTCGTATTTCCCGAAAAAGGCTGGAAAACATGAAGAACATTGTGGAAAATAACAAGTTCATAGGGAAAATGTATGGGGAAATGATGAAATTGATGGCCATCCATGCTGGTGTATCATTGTCCCATAGTGATATGGATACTCCAGTTGAAAATTGATGGATTTCTACCATCAAATGCTGGTAGAGTGCCCCTAAATCCCATGTCTGGTCATCCTTTTCCTCAATGGCGGTTGGTTGGAAATCCCCTATTCCCAGACCCCAGTTGTTGCCATGGGCCCGGCACCTTGCAGTGCAAGAAAGTCTTCGAGACCTCCAATGGCAAGTCCATTCTACTTCCAGCTCTGCGATCTTATTGGACAAAAAAATTGGCTGCGGATGGAAATTCAGCGGACAAAAAAATTGGCTGCAATGCCTGCTCACTCAGAGCTGGAAAAGGTCTTCGTTACGGCAAGCCATGGTTAAGACGTAGCAATGCCTCAAAATCCTCAAAATGATTGACCCAAAAAAGATGGACCATGGAAAATTGAGTTGGTCCATAGCTGCCGGGGTTTTAATTCAACACTAGCCAGAGTCATGTTGGTCATGTGCCCCGTTGGGCCCCGGACGCTGCCGATTGCTGGCCTTAGGGGCGAGAAAAGTGGAGCTGAAATGATGGCAAACCATGGGATTTTAACCGTTACATGGGATGAACGGGGTATGGCCCCATCATGAATGGGATCTCTGACATATAATATGAACTCCTATTCATGGCAAAATGACAATCCCTGTTTATTGGAAAATCAAAAAGTGCCTTGACCATGACATAGAACCTCCACCCAAAAGCCTTGGGCAAAAAAAATGCTGGTTGGACCACCAGAGTCGCTCTTCGTCTTTCTTCGTTTTTGGGACCCCAAAATTTTCAGGGTAACTTTGATGCAATTTCAAAGTTGATTGCTTAGATATTCCCACCTTTGTTGGTTGTATGTTATCTGTTCAAAGTTACACGACCACCAAGCCAAGCTGCATTCCTTCCTGCAGCTCCTGTCAGCTGGACCCTGAAAGGATCACTTCTTTCACCATCCAGTGGGGGAATATGTTTTTGACATATCTGAGGTTCAAGCCCAGGGGGCCTACATTTTTCTTGACCCACACAAAATCCTGGTTTCAAAGTTTCGGGTAAAATCCCCCCCATCAGCCCCAGAATCGGGGCTACTTTTCTTACTTTTTTCAGAGGTTCCATGGTTTCAACCAATGGTTTCATGATATAAACCATAACTATGCTACTTCCCCATGGTTTCACCCTGGTTTCATCATTTTGACGGCTGAAAACCCATGGTTTCAACGGGAACCCATCGGCACCTCGGCGCTAGTCCAGGCGCTGGCGCTGGCTGTGGTTTCTTCATGCGCCTGCGGTGGAAAAAAATACTGGACCTGATACAGAAACATTGAAAATGGTGATTTAGTTCGTGGATTTACCCATTAAAAATGGTGATGTTCCATAGTTATGATTAGTTATGTAAACGTTTACCAGAGGGTACATAAGCAACCATTTTTTGGGGAGTCAATAGATTGAATCTCAAATTTAATGGACGGTAAATGGGACTTAGCAGATGTTAAATGGGATATGAGGACGTTATATGAGAATATGCAAGTAATATGAAGGTATAATGGGATATAAATACTGATTAGTAATGTAAATAGAATATGGGCATTTCAGAAATATATCAAAAAAAATCAAAAAAATGATGAGTGTTCTTTAGATGTCCATATTCAGCCTGACCCAAAAAATGTTGTCCTCCAAAAATAGGTGAATAGCATATACAATTACATATAAACACATGTGAATGGATGGATGGTGACTAGATGGGCGGATGGATGGAGCCCTGCATCATCCCGCCTCGTAGGCCCCTTTGGAGCTGGTCGAAGCCTGGCACAAGCTACCCCAAACCTCAACGGATACCATTGAACCAAAAAAAAAGTGGGGATATTCCCTTATATAGGCCTTGCATATGGTAAGTACCTCCAATTTAAGCTCCTGAAGCCGTTGAAAAAAGTGGAAACCCAATGGAAGTCTACGGGAAAGGCCTCAGGACTCTCTGCCGGTGAAGCCTTTGGAGCCTGTGGGCTGCAGAAAATCAGAGGAGTCAATTAGTCCGGTTCCAAAAACCGGTCACTTTCGGGCTGCTTCTGGTTTTCTGGTTTTGGATCTCTGGTTTTGGATCTCTGAAACTTTCAAAGTTCAAGAAGTGTTTCAGTTTGAACCCAAAAACCGACGTCACTCTTCCATGGAAAGCAAAAGACAACTCAAAATTCAGTCCTCTGGCCCTTCGATTGATCGCATGTTCCTTGCTGACACCCTCGGTTTTCTCGGACTTTCCCACAATTTATCTGCCTGGATCGCATTGTTTCTCTTGGTGGTGAATCCTCCATGTTTCTATTGGTTTTAGACATTTTCGGGTTTGTTTGAAACTAGGCTATGCCTTGAAAAATGTCACTTTGATATTTTTTCCATAGAAATTACGACTCACCGGCGGATTTTTCAGGTTACACTATTCTCAGACCAACCCATGTGTACATATGCACATGGATGGGATGGATGGTTTCTACGTACATGCGTATATCTATCTATTGTATCCATCCATCTATCTATCCATCTATCTACCTATCTACCTAGCTACCTATCTACCTGGCTACCTAGCTATCTAGCTACCTACCTACCTGTCTGGCTGTCTGTCTGTCCCTGTCTCTCTGCCTCTCTGTCTCTCTGTCTCTCTATCTATCAATCTATCTACCTATCTATCCATCCATCCATCCATCCATCCAACCATCCATCCATCCATCATCTATCTATCTATTTATATGTTTATCTGTCTGTCTATCTATCTATCTATCTAGCTATCTATCTATCTTTCTATCTATCTATCTATCTAAATTTATGTATATTATGTATATATATATACATATATGTGATATATGTATATTAGATATATTCGTGTCTGTCTGTCTGTCTGTCTGTATGTATGTGTGTACGTACGCACTTGTATGTATTTATGTATCGATGTATGTGTATATATATATATATGTGTACTGGGCAACCCAATAGTAAAGCTACCATTTGCGGATAGTTTATCTATATAACCCAAAAACATTGTGATTTTGGGGATGGTTTATGGCATTGGCTTTACCACATGATATCCCCAAATCAACGCCCAATCCTAATGACTCACCTCTGGCTCGCGCTGCGCGCGCTGCGCTGGGCCGCTTCCATCCTGGAGATACCACCAATGGCCCTTGACTCTTGAGGAATCTGATGATTAGCCAATGGGATTGCGGCATACCCCATTCTTGGATAAACCCAAATAGGTTTTTTTAACAGCTAGAATTCGTGTTCAACTGTTACACCCAACAAAACTGGATGCATAACTTACAGTATCTTTCAAAAAAGGGCCTTTTTAGCAAATAGAATTCGACCACCTGTTCACTGCGGATTTCAGCAACGAATGGGAGGAGTGAACCAACTAACTAAAACCCGAGATCGGAGAGAGAGAGAGAGAGAGGCAATGACGTGGAACGAGCCCATTTTTCAAAATGCTGGCGGTCACGATAAGCTGAGATTTTCAGTTGTCATCAGTAACAATGATCATCAATGACCTATCATGCTCCTTGGATGCCCATTTAAGATATTTAAGAGGGCAAATGGATACCCCAGCTCCAAAATGCTCCCAAAAACCACCGGATTGTAATAGCAATAACATGAGAGTAGCAGCAATCAGAAGAACCAATCAGAAGAAGAATAAGAAGAAATAATGACAACAAAAACAGCATAGTAATAGTAATATACACCAAAAACAATAGTAATATCCGCCGACCCCTGCCGCCAGCAGGGGGAGCGCGTTAGAGGAGGACTGACTAGGGGCTGTCGCCCGCAAGCCCGGCCCGTCCTTCAGGACCGTCCTTTTTGAGACTGGCGAAGGCGCCGCGCGTTTTTGAAGGTTTGACGGCTGGAAGCGAGCTTGTTTTCTTGTAGGTTCAGAAAGCAACGTTAGGCAGTGGGAGCCGTTGCCCGGAGGCTCGGTCCGTCCTTCAGGGCCCTGCCGTTTTGCTGTGGCGAGGGCGCCGTTTGTGAACCTTGACGGCTGGAAGAGAGCTAGTTTGGGAGCCGTTGCCCGGAGGCTCGGTCCGTCCTTCAGGGCCCTGCTGTTTTGCTGTGGCGAAGGCGCCGTTTGTGAGCCTTGACGGCTGGAAGAGAGCTAGTTTTCTTGCAGGTTCAGAAAGCAACGTTAGGCAGTGGGAGCCGCAGGCCCGGTCCGTCCTTCAGGGCCCTGCTGTTTCGCTGTGGTGAAGGCGCCGTTTTCTGGGCCTTGGCCGCTGGAAGACAGCTAGTTTTCTTGTAGGTTCAGAAAGCAACGTTAGGCAGTAAGAGCCGTTGGCCGGAGGCCCGGTCCGTCCTTCAGGGCCCCGCTGTTTCGCTGTGGCGAAGGCGCCGTTTTCTGGGCCTTGGCCGCTGGAAGACCGCTAGTTTTCTTGTAGGTTCAGAAAGCAACGTTAGGCAGTAAGAGCCGTTGCCCGCAGGCCCGGTCCGTCCTTCAGGCCCCCGCTGCTTCGCTGTGGCGAAGACGCAGTAGAAATAGCAGTAGCAGTAACAGTAGTACTAGTAAGAGTCAAAGTAATAACTTATAACAGTAAAATAATCTAATGGTAGTAGCAGCAGCAGCTGCAGTTGAACTAGGAGTAGTAGGAGGAGTAGGCGCAGGAGTAGGAATAGGAAGAGCAGCAGCAGGAGCAGGAGGAGGAGCAGTAGCAGTAGCAATAACAGTCGCAGTAGCAGTAGGAGTAGTAGTAATAGTAGCAGCAGCAGCAGTAGTAGTAGAAGTAGTAGTAGTAGCAGCAAAAGTAGAAGTAGAAGTACAAGCAGAAGTAGAAGTAGAAGCACAAGTAGAGCAAGAAGCAGCAGCAGAAGTAGTAACAGATTCGAACTTTCATATTGGCACTTGTTGTGGCGTGACTGGGTTCGGATATGGACCAGGCATGGAACGGGTCTGGATCGGGGTATGGATCAGGACACCATGCTTTTTTAGTTCTACACGTGCCAGGCAAAATAGAAACAGAAGGAGTTGTAGTCATAGCACCACTAGAAGTACAATAAGCACCTAGTGGAAGTAGAACCGGTCTTACAAGCCTCCAAGGTGCACTTGCAATATTGCTAGTAGCTAGTCAACTAGTTACATCTGTCCAACTACCGAAGCACACGGAGAACGTGAGCCAGCACCAGCAGCGAGAAGGATAATCACTAGTAGTGGCGGCGGCAGCAGCAGCGGAGGCAGTGGAGGCAGCAGTAGAAGCAACGGTAGTAGCGATGGGAGTAGCAGTACGAGAACCAGAAGCAGTATATATTAGGATAAAAAGCATCGTTAAGGCCAGCATCAGTCTTTCTTCAACGAGAAAGGGGTATGGATCAGGGGTATGGATCAAGGGTATGGATCAAAGGTATGGATCATGCAATATCACAGGGTATGGATCAAAGTATGGATCGGGGGGTATGGATCGTGTGTAGCTTTGGCGCCTTGATCCATACCTTGTATTTTGACTCGTACCCATGTAGTTTTCTTGTAGGTTCGGGAAGTGACGTATGTGTAAACTCCCCCTCTCTCCCAGGGGTCGGCGGCAGGGGGCGTAGCCCCTTATATAAATAAAATTAAAAGTTTAATAAATGTAACCCTTTCCATCTTTTTGAGGACAACGATAGAGTCCCTCTCCATCCCACCACCCCGGGCCTGAGCCGGAGCAACATGGGGCTTGGCCCCGTGCTTGACAGCCTGGGGCGCTTGGCCCGGACCAAAGATCCTCAGCACGGCATGGGAAATGAACCCAGATATAATCCATAGAAACGGTGATTTTGGATAGTAGTGGGTAAATAATGGCTAGTAATGGCTAATACTGGCTAATAATGGTCACATAATAATGATTGAGATTGATGATGATCATGATGATGCTCATCATCATGATCATGCTCATCATGATAATGATGATCATCATCATGATGATGTTCATCATCATCATGATGATCATGATCATGATGAGAATGATGATGGGAATGACGAAGGGAATGATGATGGGAATGATGATGGGAATGACGATGGGAATGATGATGATGGGAATGATGATGGGAATGATGATGGGAATGATGACGGGAATGATGATGGGAATGATGATGGGAATGATGATGGGAATGATGATGGGAATGATGATGGGAATGATGATGGGAATGATGATGGGAATGATGACGGGAATGATGATGGGAATGATGATGGGAATGATGATTGGAATGATGATGGGAATGATGATGGGAATGATGATGGAAATGATGTTGGGAATGATGATGGGAATGATGATGGGAATGATGATGGGAATGATGATGGGAATGATGATGGGAATGATGATGGGAATGGTGATGGGAATGATGATGGGAATGATTTTGGAACTGCTGAATGGAAACTGTGGTTTTTACCACTTAAAGATGGGGGTTCCTCCAAATTTGATTTCTAGGATGGAGGCAACCAAAAATTGTGAGGTGATGTGAGATGATATCGTTCTAAACACGGGATCACATGATCTACAAACATGTTTTGGCTCAAGAAAAAAGTCATACTTTGAAACATCTTAATTACCCAACAATCATGGATCTTCTACCAACAATCAAGGACATTTTGCAGATACAGCAAGAATCAGCTCCTTGAGTCTCGAGAAAAATTGACCTCCCAGAGGGATAAACACGTTGAAAACATGGACCTGGCCGCTTTGCAACCTAACAGCAGTTCCAAGTCGTTCCAGGCTTCCAGGATTCCATAGGATTCCGTGATGCACTAGTCACACTAGTCCAGCCAGAGGTTGAAACACATTCGCAGATGCTCATCTCTAGCAACCCCCATCTCAAGATAGAAATCTGGTGAAAATCTCACTAAAATGATGGAAAAAAATCACCATCACCTTTCTGCATCTTTTTTTTGGGGGTTTGCTGAAATGAATCCTCAAAAAAATCCACATGTGTCAATTCAAAAAATCACCACCGGGATTCGTTGGCACCCCGCTGGGTGTTGGCAGATCCATCGCGGAGATTTGATGGAGATCTGATGTGTTTTTTGCGTAATCTATGGATATGTTGAATGGACACAGTACTTCTCCTGGATATTTCTTGGATGACCCTTGGAATTTTTGGACTGTTTTTCCCGAGAAAGTTGATCCCATCAATTGTCCATCAAATATCCATAGCAGTGTTGTGTTCATCCACCATAAGCCCAATTGAAAAAAAGGTGGTAAACCCCAACGGGGTTTGGCGCCATAAACTTCGTGTTGAGGGTGTTCAAACTACATGTTCTGGGAAATGGCCAAAGATTGGCAAATGTGGAATGGTTTGACAATGTCATTGAGTTGCCCAAAATATCCATAACATATGAATTAAGCATGTGAAAAATCTTCAAAACTGTAAAAGCTGTGTAGGTATCAAACCTCCTGTATTTTTTGGGATGTCGCTGATGCTAGTTTTTGTGGGTCTACTTCTGGGCACACCTTTGACCCGCGAAAACCAAAGGAGTCCGAACCGAAGTTGGCGAAGTTGGCGGATGGGTCAAGTATCCTCAAAGTCTCCAAAAAAAATTGTGTTTTTAAGGTCAAAACCTGTATTTCTGTAGCATATGGGGGGAAGTAACATCCACAACATCCCGGTGAACAGCCGGGGATTCCATGGTTCCCGTCTTCAACATACGTTGGGCTCACTGTGCCAGGCCGATGTTTCTTGAAGTCGAAGCAAAATTTTCCGACCTCTGGGCCAAAGTCACGCAGAGATGAATTGAGAAGAAAATTGGTGATTCATATCTATATATGTACGATATGTTATATATGATCTATCTATTTGTATATGTAGTTATTGTTTTTATACTTGCACTATGACTTATAACACATCTGAACCAGTGGATCTCCATCTCCTGGTCTCGGTTTGTAACTTGGCTAGTCAATCAAGCCTGACCAATGCAGGGTAAACATCACCAAAAAACAAATGGAGGTTTCTAGCTGGGAAAATCATCAATGAATGGGTGATTCATGTGATTTCCAATTGCCACGTTTGACTACCGGAAATGGATCATTACAAATACACTCTGCCAATCAAACATGGTTTGCTGCAAAATCCCGAAAAAATAGTTCCATGACATTCCCATTTGTAGACGCGGAAATTTTTGAGATTTCCCAGCCATGATGAGACCGGAGGGTCATTTTTCCTCCAAGACCTGGTCGTTGCGACTTCTGTTCGAGCTCCAAGCATATTCGGTAAAGCTATGAAGGCCGGCTGGCAGCGTGCCGTACCTCTCGAAAACATGTGGGGACAGAAACTAGAAATATACAACAAGGGTGTGTCCAAAATTGTATCAATCACGGCCATCAAGATGTTCCTCCTTTGTTGGTGTTCTGGTTCTTGAACATATTATACCCACATTTTCATGATTTGAATCCAAAAAAAGATCGGAAAAACAAATGAAAACAAAATGATGTTCCACCCCAAAAAGACACATTTCCCATCGTTCAATTGACACCGGACCCATGCCATTGGCCACGTGCGCCAGGCGCTTAGTTGGCCGACTGACCTGAAATGCAGGGGCACCAAAACCCTAGGGGTTCTCCAAAGATTGGGGGATTTTGCGCGCTTTACTTAAAATGGTGATCTAGCAGGATTTAATGGGGTTTAGCCAACAAACACTGTGGATTTTATGGAATATTGGATATATAATGTTGATGTTACTGTCTGGTAAATTAGTATGGATATAAACATTTAACGAAAATTATGTATTTCCCTGGTAAAATGATCTGCAAATGGTTGATTTTCCAGACCATGTTAGGTTGCCGGAGGGTATCCTCACATCGGGATTGCCATTGGGTATCCCTAAACCACTGGTGAAAATCGTTTTTTTTTGCGAAACGAAACGCCATACAGTAGGATATCCCCAATTTTATCACACGCCATTAAAAAAAAATGTATAAACCTTGGAAATGGTGATCAAAATTATTGTACTATATTTAGGGGTCAAAAATTCAATACATCATTTTTGGATTCATATTTGAAGGGTTGTGAAACCTTCAACAATGGAAAATAATGGGTATGGTTTGTGGTTGAAGGTTTCACAAATATGTGGACAACTGTCAATACCAAGGATTTTCCACATGAACAAGGAGGGAAAACATGCATAACAACCGCCTTTTCTGGTGTGAAATACAGGGACCATGGTAAAATGATCCATAACCGCATGAAGTGAATAACGTCAGTTGACTGGTTAGAATGCAATGTTACCAACCTATCAAGTGTGAAAAACCTGTCCGCATTTCAGTGCATTGTCTCGCGCAAATCAAACACCTTTGAGGTGGGTTCATTGACATACCTTTCAAGATGTTTGGATTCATTTTTGGGGATGGTCACTGTTGATCACTGATGATTTTCAGAGGAGCCTTGTTGGAACACTTTCCACTTGACCCGTGCAAATTCGTGGTGAGGTGAATTCAACCATGAAAATGAATGTTAAATATCAATATCACAAACTCAAACTCAGGCCCCGGCAGAAGCAAAATTGCACATCGCATGGGGATGAATCGAACAAAATGATCACGTGCAAAAAAATGGACACTACTTGGGATGAACATGCGATTCTGTTTGTGAACCTTGTTTCGTGAGTTTTTTGGTTACATTTGCTGTTGTTCATGTTTTTTTGATGATATGCAGCCATGCACAATGGGTCCATTTTGAATTAAGTCTGGAACCGAAACTATTCGGGAAGCACATGCAACAACTGTGTGCATGTTGCGAAAAAAATCCGGCCCACCAACATGCATTCTTGCGTTTCAAAACTGCGGGAAACTACATATGACCGCGGTGAGTTGCCCAAACGCTCAATAAATTTTGGTGATGTTAGGCTCCGGACTAATGAACTAGAAAAGAACCGTTCACGGGTCGCTTGAAACGGTCACTGATACCATCCACGAATTGATATGTAAAATTTCGTAAACACGCCCAATGGCCAACTGTTAGGCAGAGAGAACACAGGGCAGCGTCTTTTGTCCTTCTGCCAAGCAAACTCAAACGCTGTTTTGAGCCGCAGGGCCTGGAGGAAACAAGTCTGAATCTGCAACTGAATTCACATGGTTTTCATGTGCTCACATGGTGATATGACAGGAGTAAGCGCTGAGTGAAATTCCTTGCGCACCTCCTAATTTTTTTGAGTTTTCGGCTTGAAAATTTCCTCGAATTTGCTCTGACCAACTCACGGCACGCTGCTGTGAACTCATCTCCATTTTCATTGTGTAAATTCCAGCGGTCACCATTTGGTGGAAATGTTCCGTGCATCCATTGGGAATTGGTTCACCTGATCCCCAGCTGTGTTTCAAACTCCTCAACGTAGGCTCTGAACACTCCAGACATGCGGGATCTAGAATGATTGTTGGTTCTTCGAAAACGCACAGCCAAGCCTGTCACCGCTCAATGGTGTCCCTGGGGTGCCACGGTCAAGCACCATAAGGACAAGTTGCTGCACAGCTGCTCCATCTGCAAACTCCTGCGTTGCAAGGCACTCATAAATCAAATCCCTCAACCTGGCCAGCACAGGAGTTTCTACTACGTTGTCAACCTCCATGTCACATGTTTCACCTTTTTCATTTTCTTCATGACCACGTGGTTCAGGATCTGTAGTATCTGCCCTTGCATGGATTCCAGTGGAGTGCTCTGTCACAAGTCTCGTGCGGCGGTCACCACCCATCACATTGTATGAGGTCATGTTTCCTCGTTCAGTTGTATACATATGCCTGTT